ACCATTTCATCAAACTCTAACTCGTTATCTTCTTCTTCATCATCAACTGCATCTACCTCATCTTGTTAATTCTCCAAAGGATCAACCTCCTGTGTCACCGGAGGCTCTTGAAGCAAAACGTACAACTCAATAGAGTCGTATCCAGAATAGACATGGCTGGAAATCATATTCTGGAGATCCTCGTCATCTTGAACTTCAACCTTATAAAAAATTACTTGGTTGTTTCCAAAGAAAGCTGGATTCTGATAAAATATCTGGGACACCGGGTCTCGTTCAAGTTTGACCTCCAATCTTTTTTTGAAGTACGAGAAATTGGCTTTCTCGTTTAAGAGAAATCGAATGTTGTCTGTGTCTCTAAACAAAAACCCAATTGTGGGATAAATGTATGTCTCACCGTTGAAATGTGCTTTGATGACAAATTGTGGTGAAGAGGCCATTGCGTAGAATTGTTTTAAGGTTTGAAGGTTGGAATGTTTGAGGTTTATTGATTGTATGAAGGTATGAATGTTGTAATGTTTGAAGGTTGGAATGTATGAATTTGATGACTGATTCGAAGGTTGGAATGTTTGATTGTTTGCAGGTTTGAAGGTTTGGTTGTAAGAAGGTTTGAAGGTTGGAAGATTTGACAGATTATGTGAATCAATGTTATGATAAACGTAAGGCTAAAAATTTCAATTAAGTAAGGATGCAACTCCCCAAGGCTGCCAATAATATTACATGCAATAATGAAACCCCATAGGCTGCCACCTAGCCTGGCCCTATTATGCACATATACATGTATTTTGTAAGACTCCACCCATCAACTCCAATGGGCTTACATGCAATAATGAAAGGAATCCCCCAAGGCTGTCACGTAGCCTGAGCCAATGATGTAACAAAGGACACCTCTTATTCGCCAATTGGGGTGGCGACACCATTCATTTTTGTACTCTTTCGCCAAGTCCAATGGCGCCTCCCTTACTGTCCAATCGTGATACATGCATGGGCTTATGAAACCCCATAGGCTGCCACCTAGCCTGGCCCTATTCTGCATATATACATGTATTTTGTAAGACTCCACCCATCAACTCCAATGGGCTTACATGCAATAATGAAAGGAATCCCCCAAGGCTGTCACGTAGCCTGAGCCTATGCTGTAACAAAGGATACCTCTTAGTCGCCAATTGGGGTGGCGACACCATTCATTTTTGTACTCTTTCGCCAAGTCCAATGGCGCCTCCCTTATTGTCCAATCGTGATACATGCATGGGCTTATGAAACCCCATAGGCTGCCACATAGCCTGGCCCTATTCTGCACATATACATTTATTTTGTAAGACTCCTCCCATCAACTCCAATGGGCTTACATGCAATAATGAAAGGAATGCCAAAGGCTGTCACGTAGCCTGAGCCAATGCTGTAACAAAGGACACCTCTTATTCGCCAATTGGGGTGGCGACACCATTCATTTTTGTACTCTTTCGCCAAGTCCAATGGCGCCTCCCTTACTGTCCAATCGTGATACATGCATGGGCTTCCACCTAGCCTGCAAGAGTGACACCTTTCATTTTTTGTACATGCATGCACGCATATGTGTAACCCCCTAAGCATGCAAATGTGACACTTCGCAGGCATGCAAGCACAAGAAACCACTACATCAAACTTATTTGCCTATAAATACATACCATATCATACATCTCTCACACCCACACAAGTCTCACTCTCTGCTACGAAATATTTCATAAGTCTATCATACTCTCTATCTCTTCCTAAGTCTTTCATACTCTCAAGCATTTTAAACAATGGCTCTTCTAACAATGGGCGATACTCACAGAGGCACAAGGGAAAACATTGTTGCATTTGTAAGTTTCTTCTTTGGTTATACATTTTTCATACTTCAAATAACGCGTTGTTCATCTTAATTAATCTTACACCTGTTAAATTATGAACTCAGGACACAAAAAGATTCAGAATCCGTTCGCACAACTACCTGGCTCCCGACCCATTTATCGTCCCGTATCTGGAATACGCAGGTTTTGGACATGTGATAAAGATCTCCAACTGCACCATTGACTCGAAGTTCATTCTTGCAATGTTGGAAAGGTGGAGACCGGAGACCCATACATTTCACCTACCAATAGGTGAATGTACCATCACGCTAGAGGATGTATACATGCTACTGGGTCTCCCTGTCGACGGTAAGGCCGTGAACGGGTCGGTTCAACAACCCAACTCTCAGTGTGAAGAACTGTTGGGTAGGGATATGGTTGAAGGTGATGGTGCAAGAGGGCAGGGAATACTACTCACTGAGCTGAAACGTCATTATGTAAGTTTGGAATTAAATGAAAATTCCTCAGAGAATGACAGAGTAGTAAAAGCCAGAACATATCTTATGATACTTTTTGGTACATTTTTATTTCCCGAAAGTACGGGAAATAGTGTAAATTTTATGTACTTACATTTACTAACAAATTTTGAAAAAACAAGAAAATATAGTTGGGGTTCTGCAGTATTAGCCCACCTATACAGTTCATTGTGCAAAAACGCAGTCAAGGAAAAATGTACATTTTATGGGTGCGCTTTTTTACTACAAGCCTGGGGTTGGTGGAGGATGGAGTCCTTAAACCTCGTCAACAACAACACTTTCGGTTTCCCGTACGCAACAAAGTAAGTCATCAAGTTATAGCATTTATAACTATTCTGCTCTTCCCAAAATATATGCTAAGAATAAAATGTTTCTCATTTCCTTTAGGTACTGCGTGAGGGGTATGGATTACGGAAAGAATCCAAGATTCAATGTCGCACTCTACCGCAATCTGTTGGATCACTTAGGCCCGGATGACGTACGTCGTAGCTTTTAACTTTTGTTTATTTAAATTATTTATACATTACTTTTGCGCTAACCTGATTTAAATTTTATCGCAGTTCGTCTGGAGACCATATTTGGGTTTGGGCCATGATCCAAACCCGGAGGATGCAGCAACTTGGACTGTGAAGACTGCAATCATTCGGTTCAACATTGTGGAGATGCACCACAGCGACCGTGTGAAGATGCAGTTCGGAATGCATCAGGAGATACCAAGTGATCCAACTTGTTTGTCCCCATGGCATCTTAAAAGGGTCGACGCCCAGTGGGGTCTTACCAACTGGAAAGACTTCGCTCCGGAATGGTGTAAGATATGGCAGAGGCGTCACCGCTACGTCTTGCAATTCCCGGTTTTCCTTACTCAAGGTAATATGCGACACACGGATTAATATTTGTCGTGGTACAGGTCAGTTAGTAACCCAGAAATGCACGTGTCTCATCCAAGGTACTTGGTTGACCCACGCACACAATGGGCACAACCCTCGATTCCCCATCAACAAACCCAAAACCCATCAACCTCCCACCAACCCCCAAGAAGAAACAGACCCACAAACACCCAACCACATTCCCCACTACAACACAACTACAATCAAATGCCGCACAACCAACCACAATCACCACCAAACTACCAATACCCCGATATGCCTCAAACCCAACCCCAATACCAACCCCAATACCAGCACACCCGCATACCCCACACACAATTTCAGTCTTCCACATATCCCAATATGGCGCCCTCAACATCCAACCTTAGCCCTGATATGGGAATGTCGGAAGATTACGACCAAGCCGACCCAACCTACCATCACCCACAATATCACCAAACCACCCAACATCCTCAATACCAAACACCCCAAGATCCATTTCCTTTCTACGCCCTGTACTCAGACGACCAATGCTACAGACCAACCATGGAACCCCACCCACCGCCAACACGACCAAACTTTGAGGGTATGGGTAACCGACTGTACCAGAGCGGATCTTCTAGATATGGAGATCTGACTGATTTTATGGATTCGGACCGCATTGACTTCGCTGGACCATCGACCTTGCCGCAGCAGGAAACGCGACAGCATCCAGCACGAGAAAGGCGAGGACGGGGATGCGGAACCGGGGGTCATTACCGGGTTCCGGGGGATCACTGATGTATCTTTTTTTTTTCCAGTATTTTTGTATCCATTTTTTTTAATCTGTTTTTTTTACTGTTATTTTAATGTAATACAATTGGATGTAATTATTTTTTTTTAATAAAAAGTCCATTTTGTTGATCTCTGTCCAACACGCAATGCACCGGAAAAAAAAAATTTGCCCTAAAAATACACCTAGGCGCCATCTCACTTGGCTTAGGGCATGCCCTAAGCACATAGGCGCCAAGTGAGATGGCGCCTCCCTTATAAATATAGGTGCATGCGCCATTTCAGATGGCTCCTCCTTTGGGGAGTCATCTGAAACATGGTTATTTGCGTATTTTTTTTCGAAACCCGATTATTTGTGAAATATTATTTTAATACTTGGTTATTAATAAAAAAAAATCGATTAATTAAATATTTATCAATTTATCAACTCTTATCAAATTTTTATATATCACACATCATTAAACATGAGCGAGAGGTAGTAAAAGATATTAATATGAAATATAGTTTGAAAAATATGTTTATAAATCAATTTTGTAATGTTATGTTATTTTGTAAAGTTCTAAGAAATGTGTTGATAAAAACATTAAAATAAAGTTAAAATATTATTAAATTTTATGTTGGCCTTTTTTAGATGATTTTATTTTATCTTACAAGTGAGAGGAAGAGGATTCTTTAAACTTATACTATAACTAAATGAAAATTGTAGTGGTAGCTAGCTTTTGTGTAAGGGGATTCTTTATATCTTTCAACAAGTTATGAAGTTGGTTTTAGTTTTACTATGTCACATATTGAAACCTAAGCCAAATCCCTCTTGCAGAAAATCTTGAACAGGACCAAGTCAATAATTATTGCTAAGTCTCATATGTCTTTGTTTTGATTCTGACTTTTCCCTTCTCTATAACAATATCATAACATTATATAAACACCACCACCTACATATTCTATATATCAATATCAAAACACAAATATACACATAAATAAAGAAACTAAACCATTCAAAATTTAATATTTTTCATTTCATGGCTTTGGCCTCCATCCATACCTCAACATTATTTTCTTCTTTTCCTCTAAAAAGATCAGTAAATGCTTCCATCCATATCCCAAAAACCAATAATTTCTCAGTTCCTAAAATACCTACTAGAAACAATATTGAAGGATTAACAATTCCATTACTACATGGTCAAAAAAATGTTACCAACAATAGTAACACACATGATTCGTACTCTAGTTCTGATATCACCATGCAACTCTATGCTATCTTAGATTCTGTATCCGAAAGAATAGAAATGCACAATAACCTCAGCCAACAACGTCAGAATTGGAACAACCTACTTCTAAACAACATCAACATGATCACACTCACTGCTACAACGTTAACCGGTGTCGCCGCGGCAACTGGTGCTATGGGAGCACAACTTCTGGCTCTTAAACTATCATCCACTCTTATGTTTTCAGCAGCAACAGGTTTGCTTCTTATCATGAACAAGATTCAGCCTTCGCAACTCGCTGAGGAACAACGAAACGCTACAAGATTGTTTAAACAGCTTAGGGCTAAAATCGAAAACGGAATTTGGGTAGGAAATCTAACGGAACATGATGTGAGGTGCTTGGTGGAGAAAGTTTTGGCTCTTGATAAAGCTTATCCTCTTCCTTTATTAGGTGTTATGCTTGAAAAGTTTCCGGCGAAATATGAACCTGCTGTTTGGTGGCCTGGAAAAAGAAAAGAAGGAAATACAGCAGAAAGAAAGACGAAGAAGAGAAATAGTAATAATAATAATAATGGATGGAGTGAGGAGCTTGAAATGGAATTGAAAGAAGTTATTGAAGTTGTGAAGAGGAGAGACATTGAAGATTATGAGAGACTTGGAAATATAATGTTGAAGGTTAACAAGTGTTTAGCAATAGCAGGTCCATTACTCAGCGGAATTGCAGCTATAGGTTCTACATTTGTAGGAAACAGTTACATTGCGGCTATAGTTGCTGTTATGGCAGGTTCATTAGGTGCTGTAGTGAATGCTTTTGAACATGGTGGACAAATTGGTATGGTGTTTGAAATGTACAGAAACTGTGGTGGATTCTTTAAGATGTTGGAAGAAAGTGTCGATGAGACGTTGGAAGAGAAAGATTATGAGATGAGAGAAAATGGAGAGTTATTTGAAATGAAAATGGCTTTGATGTTGGGAAGAAGTGTTTGTGAAATGAGACAACTTGCTTTGAAATCTGTTGCTTGTAGGATGGAAGGAATTGAGGTTGATGAATTTGCTAGCAAGTTGTTTTGATTGCGTGTGATGCAAGGAAACTCATGAAGCTGGATTTGTTAACAAGGTGTTTCAATATTATAGATGTAACATTGATTTATTAACTTCATTTTTAATTATAATGTAAAAACATGTTATTTTATTCTTTATGTACAAATATGTATTTGGTATATATGTATACAAAGGAAAGTTTTGTTTTAGATTGATAAGTGTATACTTTCTTTATGATTATATGAATGTTCAAAAGTTGGACTATTATGGTATATAAAATTTTATTTCTTTGGAATTCTTGAAAATTTTGTTTAAAATTCATGTATTTGACTTCTGAAGCTACAATATAAGATGGTTGAATTAGGTAGCTGCGACATAAAAGAAAAGCTTTTTTTTTAGCCAAAAAGTGATGGAATGAGTTTCAAACACAAAAAGGTCACTCGTTATAATATTATTTTCGTTAAAACATGTTTAACTTTATAGAGTTAGATGGATTAGTTATGGTATTATCGTATACTGTTTGTTTCCGTATGGATCGAGGACTTTATTTAATGTTTTAATAAGAGTGCTAACCCATAATTAAGAAGGTCTAAAACGACTTCTAAAAATTTAAGTGTGTAATAAATATGCCGTTTAATTTTAATGTTTTTCAGTTTTATATTTTCTGTTTTAAAGATTTTTCATTCTCATGTAAATGTCTTTTGTTTTTTTTCGGATATCACATTTTCTGTTCAAAAGATTAATATATATGTTTTTCATTTATCAGCTTTTCTGTTCTAAAGATTGGGTTTTTATTAATGTTTCATTCTCATGTAAACTTCCTTTGTTTTTTTTTAGATATCAGGTTTTCTGTTCTAAAGATTAACATTTATGTTTTTCATTTTTCAGCTATTATGTTCTAAAGATTGAATTTTTATAAATTTTACATTCTCATGTAAACCTTCTTTGTTTTTCAGATTACCAATCAACCATGTCGAGACCACCTATTATGATATGCGACCTGAATTCCGAACAAAACGTTTGGAAAATAGCTATTCGTGTGGTCGATGTCTGGAACGTCAAGGAACGCAATGGTCAGCAGCATCTTGAAGCTGTTATTCAAGATGCAAAGGTATTTTTCTTTGACAATATCATCTGTTAAACCTCAATATGCTAAAGTTTTAAACATGGTTTCAATATTTTTCCATTTTCAGGCTGAGCAGATCCATGTTGTAACCCGCTCCCGTGACCTTGATGTTTGGAAGAATAAATTGCAGGAAAATCAAACCTAATGGTCTATAACGGTGAAACGATGTTGTATGACATGCCTGTTAAAGTTTGTGATAACAAATACAAGCTGTTTTTTAATCGTTCCACAACTATCACTGCCGTTGACATACCAGACACTCCACAACACAAATTGAACTTTAAGCCCTTTACTGATTTCCAGAACAGAGATTTCATTGTTGATCGCCTTTACGGTATTTATTGTCCTCCTCAATTCTTAATAATGTTCATATATTTATTGTCACATGTCTAACCTTGAATGATATTGCAATCAGATGTAATAGATGCAGTTCAGCAAGTTGTTAGAACTCAAGTATCAGGTGCTGGAAAAAAGGCATGTGTAAACCCCACATTATCTGATGAATGGTCTCTTACTTGAATTTTACATTACGATTTTACTTCAACTAATTTATGAAGATTACGTTTTCAAAGTAACACTCATTTATACTTGTATTTGTAGTGGGGCTGAAATGGATGTTACTCTATGGGAAGCATATGCAAACCAGTTTATGAATTATGCTGCTAAAAATGGACATGTGTTCCTAATCCTTACTCACGCATGGTGTCGTCAGAGCTCAGGTTTTGCAATACTATTTTCGACCTATTTTGATGTTGTCATTACAGTATAATGATTGCCTATTTTTTGCAGCCAACGGAAAGCTTAGTATTTCTAATGCATGGAATGGCTCAAGACTACTTCTTAACCTTGACCTCCTTATACAATCATTTTGAACACACTAACATAGATTGCTGCATATGTTTCAGACAACTACATCTGCAGCACAGAATTGGAGCCCGGAAGCCAGCATTTCCAACATCCCTTCAAAGAGGTTGTCACTTGATTCAGTTCAAGATCCAGAGGGCCCTGATCTTTTATCACCAAAACTTTCTGCAACAAAAGCAGCTAAGACCAACTCTGGAAGGAACACCAAAAACAAGTGAAGATCAATTATGAATTTTTTGTGATCTCCATGCAAAATTTTAGGAACACAAGCTTTTGTTTTGGGATCTTCCATGAAAAACATATATTTTGAGTAATCATGTTTTTGTTGAACACCTCTATTATGTCAACTTCTGTTTAAAATAATTTTTTATTTATCTTTTCCCTACTTACCAGACAATTAACAAACTTGTATTTGTCAACAACTCATGGTTAATGGTGTCATCCTTATCTTAATTGAATATTTTATACCTTTTATATTTGCATGTCCAACCATTATTTGTATATTTTTTGTATTTATTTTTCACAATGATTCATCATTAAGGCTACAGTTTGGTAATATAACCTTTTATACTGTTAGACGGTGTGGCAAGTGATCGAGACGGGGGGTGAATAGATCACCTCCTTATTTATCAAGGATTTAAAATCTTTTATCAAAGTTTGTTCAAAGCAGCGGAAAAGTAAGGTCCAGAATCAACTTCCGTCTATTTTGAACCAACTACTAGAAAACCTGACATACGATAAACTTGCTGGATTTTATTAGTATGACATAGATGAACCTTAAACACGGATTGATTAACGTTTTTAATGCACTTATCACTAGAACAATGTTTCTAATGAATTAAAACTTGCAAGCAATTCTGTCAAACGGTTGGCGTATGCTTGTTTGATGATTAATAATGGTGATTTGATGAAAGTATTTGAACCACTATTTTATCATTAAACAAAAAACTCAGCAAACCAATTGAATCACAAAAATGCGGAAAATGTAAAGAGATAGAGAGAAAGAAAAATAATACGTAGGCATTTTGGTAAGGAAGTTCCCCAATGTCGTCCTCGCGTATGGGTACGTCTCCCTCTCAATTCCAAAATTGAAATTGAGAACTCTTATATCAATTTTGCTGAAATTTTGTATACAAGGTTACTCTACAAAGACAGAATGAAATCCCTATGATATTTTTCTTCTTGTAAGAACCTCCACTTGATATGAGCCTATCAATATTCTCTGCAAGATCCACAATCAATCCTCCGCTTTCACGACCTGTTTGCAAAAATCCCTCTGATTTCCAAACCCCTCACTACGGCTGAATCTGACTTGTGCGACCGTGACTAACAAACTCTCAAGAACACACCCGCTCTTGAAGGACAAACCCTTGGTTTTTCCTCGAAGCCTCCTTCTGAATCTTCAACCCAACTGAGATCCCTTGAATGAACAGTTGAACGTTATCTCTTGATCTCTTGATCCAATTGAACAAAGATGTTTGAATTTCGTTGTTGTTGTTGAATTAAGATGATTGAGAAGATGATGAAGATGAAGTATCTTTCAAGCTTCTTGTTGCTCAGTAATTAATGCTCACAATTCTAAAAATGTGTCACACCTGATTTGCTGTTGAAAATTTACTTACATATGTAATAGAAAACAGTTAAAGACATGAATTCGCATTATGAGTTGATACATGTTAGCATGAGTCGACTCATGTTAGTTATACAACACAAAATGAGTCTATACAAGTTGTTATGAGTCGATGCAAACTGATACTACAACATATTACATAGCCAACCATTTTACATGAGTCGATACATAACACGTATGTGTCGACACATACTGAATTGAATTTTGATTTTTGAAGATAAAACGTGTTATGTGTCGATGCATGGAGTTATGTATCGATGCATAAAAGTTGAAACTTATTTTCCCGGGACATCAACATATCATGTGTCGATGCATGAAGTTATGAATTGATGCATAAAGGTTGAAAATTGTATTCCAGGAGCATCGACATGTTATGAGTCGATGCATGGCATGAATGTGTCGACTCATACTGAAGCATAATCGTTTTATGATTCTTTGCTTAAGTATGTGTCGATGCAAACCTCTTCGTGTCGACTCATAATAGTGTTTTATGTGTAAAACACATTCTTAACTCTTTTTAAACATGTTATACTGTATTTTTACAATGCACACATATAGTTAAAGCATTTTCAACATTCATTGATTATTTCACACATATTTGCTATCATTCAAAACTAATTATATGAAGGGGTTACTCACATATACAACACATATTAAAACGTACAGTTTACAATAACAAAGTCCATGATTACTGACCTGCTTCGGGAGATCAACTCAGTATAATTTAAGGGGAACAACTTTTCAAATCTTCACACTTTACATGTATATGGTTACATTCTCTCAGCTTTAGAATTATATCCAATGTATAACCATTGCCAGCTTATTTTATGAACGTGTTACTTAATATTTAACCAATACAGTCCAAACTTTAACTTTGACAGCAATTTATCCATACCTTTTTTTATTTACAAATGCACCGTCTATACCAAAAAAAATATTATATTTATACTATTAAAATGTTACATTGCAGTCCAAACGTACGGCTAAGTATCCAAGCGAAAATGAATGCACTCTTTTGGCTGGTATTTTTTGTACTTTCCTCCTAAATAATAGTGACTATCATCAACACATCCTACTTGCTACATAACTGCAGCCTGGCTTCGCTATATGTCCTACTGCAAAATAACACTTCAATGCATCTTTTCTTGGCTCTTTACTACTTAATAGGTACAACAATTTTCCTTGGTGATTGTTTTTTAGACCTTCTACTCACCTTTGTGTACAGTGACCTGTCTAATCACTTACACATAGTTTCAACTCAACTTCATTTTATTATAGTTCGGTTACTATTTGATTTATCCAGTTTACCTATATGGACATAAATCTCAAGATCAATCTTTAGACTATGTTGGTTTATATTTGCCAAAAAACGTCTTCATCCATGGACAACTATATGTTGCAATGTCAAGA